GTGAAAATGAGTACACTGTAAATAAGTATAGCCATTATGGAAAACAATATGGCGGTTCATCAAAAAATTAAAAACAGAACTACCACATGATCTGGCAATCCCACTACTGGGGGATTATATATCCAAAGAAAAAGAAATCATCATGTTGAGGAGATATCTGCAACATGTTTATTGCAGCATTCTTCACAGTAGCCAATATACAGAAGGAACCTAAGAGTTCATCAATGAATGAATGTATAAAGAAAATGTATTCATACACTAAGGAAATACTATTCAGACAAACAGAAGGAAATCCTGTCATTTGAGACAACACTGAGGAACTGGAAGACTTCATGTAAGTGAATAAGCGAGGCACAAAAAGACAAATATCGCATGATCTTAGTCATACGTGGAATCTAAAAAAGTTGACCTCATTGAGTTAGAGAGTAGAATGATGTTTACCAGATACTAAGAGGTTAGGGGAAGAATGGAATTGAGGAGTTGCTGGTCAAAGGATATATAATTACTTAGATAAGAGGAATAAGTTCAAGGGATTTGCTGTAAAGCAAGATGACTATAATTAATGACAATATATTATATTCTTGAAAACTGCTGAGAGTAGATGTTAAATATTCTCACCACAAAAATAGCTATATGAGGTGATGCATTTGTTAATTAACTAATTTGTTCCAAATGTATGCATACTTCAAAACATTAGGTTATACATGATAAATACATACAATTTTATGTCAATTAAAATAATTTGAAAAAAACTGTACATTTAATTACTATCCAGGGTGATGAAATCGAATGGCACTACAGGAAACACAGCAAGACAAACACCAATTGCATAAATTTTCTCCCTGAGTGAGTCATTATTAAATGGTCAGAGCTTTTTTTTAGTAAACATTGTCTAGATATAGTTTACTGGTAGCCTTTTGAATTGTGTTCAAAATCCAGCACTGAACTGAGTTTTGCCATATGGTTATGTGAGCCTGACACAAAAACAATGAGCTAAGTCCATTAAGGAATCACAGAAAAAAGTTTTTACAGAAACAAATGGTTCTCAAAGATTTTTTCAGTTCACAGTCCTCTATAGAGGGACAAAAAGCGATATACTCCTACTTGCTCATGTTAAGCTATCTTCTTACCAGAGTGAATGGGAGAAGTGAAGCTGCTTTCAATCTAAAAATAATGTAGTGAATGTCTTGTTTGTATTAAATACCATGAGTATTAATTCATTCCCAGAAGATTACAAGGCATCGGATCACAGAAATACCACAGTAGAGCAAATGCCTACCCAGAGATAAAATCCTCCATTCTCTCCCCAAGATTTTTGCAAAAGGATGGTCCCAATTCTCTTTAAGAACTATCACTATTATTTTCCCATTTTACTTGGAGACTATCGTTTCTCTCTAAACAATCCTTTATAGAAAAGGACCTCCTATTTTTAACGTCGTCTCACTTTGGCATGTTATAGACCCTATCAAAGTTGGTCAAAGAAAAATAGCCTCCCTTTTGAAAGTGAATAAAATGTTCTTTATCTTGGCTATATTTCCCTTTCAATCCAACCATCTGGATGTAAATTAAGGTACCCTACTTTGAACATGGGTGTGCCCACCATCTGGCTCCCCAAAAGTGGCAATTATTTCAGGTAAGTGAACATTTTACCTAATTCTAAGCAAGCATACTCTCCTGTCGAAGACTACAGCATAAATACATACCCATTTTTATCTGCCTGCTGCACACCTAGTTGATGAAAAAGTGAGTATGTATTCTGCCTAATTTACTTCTTGGTGTGTAAACATGTTGATTTTAAGAGAATTTATTTTCAATATTCAACAAGTGTAGGAACCAAGGGTAGAGAATTTGTCTCAACTTGGGAAACCTTCGGCTTCACGGGGGGAGCTTGTCTTCTAACCTTTTTACAGTACAGTATGGAAATCAGGAAAAGCAAGTCTTCCCAGTTGTACAAAGCCAGGCTACCTACGACACCCAGCAGGAGATAAAACCTTCCAGAGGTCCAAGGTATATAGCACACAGTGGAATCTAATTTCCCTGCTGTCGCCAAAATTATTTTGCTCAGGCCTCTGAGAAGCAAGTTGAAGAATCAGACTGATAGGATTTTAATGAGTTAGTGTTTCCACATAGGCTGAGAAGTGAACTGTATTGTAGTATTGCTCTTTTAAGCATTTCAACTTGCTCAATATGACTTCCTTTATCAGATTAAATATTTGTTTTTATCACAGAAATTATCCTATAATTAAATTGGCAAAATTATATCTAACTAAAGACCAAAATTTTTAATCATTAATCAAATGAAAATTCAGTGTTCACATCTGTGTCCTACTTGAAAGTGGGTTTTAGAATGCCAATTTACATTGCATTTTGTGGACAAAATCATCACCAAAGTCCAATCCTAGCTGAGATGCTGATAAGGGTCTGTTTAAAAATGCTTCAAGTGGCTATAGTAACAAAAAAAGTTTAATAAATAGAAAGTTTATATAACTATGAAATGGTTTATTAGATTTATTTCTTTTGCTTTATCAACTCCAGTAGAAACATCCAAGAAATTATGAGATTTACTCTAGTAATAATAATGAGGAATGAAAAAAAAAAATGAGGAACAAAGACTTCCTCTAAGATGCTGTCTAGAAATAAAACAATCCTGGGATTTTCAAAACACTGTGTTCTGCATTTCTATTGGGATGATGAGTTTAACTATATGTGAACTAGGTTAAACTTCCAACCAAGTTATTTACTTCTTTGAGGAAAACTGCAAGGTAGAGTTTGAATATAAATATGCACTAGGGTTACAAGAAATCAGTTACGGGTCAAGCAGAAACATCTGGTCTTTTTAAGAGTCCTGTTAATTTGAAAGCATTGACCAAAACAAGCTCAGTTCTGCCAAACATATTTTGGCATGGCTCAAAAAACGGGATTTGTCGAAAGCATTCATTTCACCACAGCAAGATGCGTCAGTAATGATATGCAACTCCCACTATTGACATTTTGACATAACAAGCTTGTTCCTAAACATAGTATGCAAATTTGTTTTCTATGCCTTTCCCCCAAATTTGATATAATTCTGGGTTTAAAAAATATTTTTAATCTGTATTATTTAGAATGTGTCGGAGGAAGTGGTAGAAGGGGGTTTAAATTATCCATATCTGATGTCAGGAGTAAGACAGTGAATAATTTATACATCCACTTACAGGAGGTTTTAACTATCATACAACTACTAAAGCATTGGGCATTTTATTTATAGGAGGTTACTTCATAGAACTCTATAAATAATAAAACTTTTGTTTACTTTCACAACACATTGTAATTTCCCCAGCCTCTTACACAATAACTTCTTCTGAGAGTTTCCAAACACCATAAGCTGTGTCTGGTCCAGGGATTAGAGAACCAAAGTTCAAGTCCTAGCTCTCCACTGACAAGCCTGCTCACCTCCAGGGCCCTGGGCTTCTCTGAGCCCATTTTCTGCTGTTGTGAGAATCACCTGAGAAAAGAAGAGGCTCTGCCTCATTACTGATCTGCAACCTGCCTCCTCTTCTAAAGTTCTTGGTTTAATTTTTAAGCTCACTTTGGTTGTTCATCTGCCCTATAGTCATTTAATTAATCGAAGTTATTTTAGCAATGAGGGAGTTAGAGCAAAGAACAAGAATCACTTATTCATTCAACAATATACCTGAGAGCTTACTGCCACAAGACACTCATGAGAAATAGCATTTATGGTGGATACTCTATGTGCCAGGCACAGGGGTAAGTACTTTGTAATGCATTCACTCACAGACGTCCACACCAATCCTACAAGCAGAATATTATTATTGGTATCCCCAAGTTAGAATTAAAAGTCTAGGCTCAAGAGCCAAACTCCCTGGGTCTAAATCCGTACTTTGCTCACTCTTGGTGATCTTGGTCAAGCTATGTGACCCACCTGTGCCTCCATTTCCCCGCCCGTAAAATAGGGAATGCTGATAATAGCGTCTACCTCATAGGGTTCTCGTCGGATTGAGTACATGGGTGTGCAATAAGCACTAGAAAAGGAAAAGGTTAATTACCTTCTTCAAACCTTCACCACAGTTGGACGAACAGCAGAGATTCGAACTCGGTTCTACTGGATTATGAAGTCTGAGCTCTACACAAGTGGTGAAAAGCTCCACGGACTTTCAGATTTTTTTTTTTTATAAAAATACCAAAGTACCCAAATGTGAAACGCGCCAAAGATAGTAACAAGGCATTTGAAACTGACTACTAGCTTTCCCACCCTTGACCACTGGAATCATCTCCAGAGGCAGCAACTCATGAACAAACAACTTGAGTCGCCCTGCCTCAGCACAAAGCTGGCAGCGCCCGCGAGGCCACTTATAGCTGGCTCTGACCTTGGCAACCTCCACCCCCGTCCTGGTCCTCTCAGCCTATCTCTGAAAACCACTATTTTCACTCCGAAACTCAACTTGAAGTTTGGGGAAAGTTTACCCAGCCAAAGCCCATCCTCTGCTCTGCACCTGGCAGGGGACTACTAATAGGCAGGGGAGATGGGCATGTGAGGGCAGGGGTGGAGAACGGTGTGTCCCTGACCTGCCTTGACAAGCTAACCTGGATGCGCTGTTGTCTTGGCCTTCAGCGCCACGTATTTTCCCTCGACAGTAACTTGGCAAGCTTTTCATGTCACTCTGGCATCGCTCAGATTATCAGTTATCCTTCAGAAAAAAGGGCCCTGCGTTTCAATGGCTAAGGAACTTTGACAGGAAGAGGAGAGGTCCTGACTAGAGGAGGGGGCGGCATTCATCTTTTGGCACCGGCGAGTCAGTTTGCGGAGTTGGCTGCAGTGAGACCCCAAGGCATCTGGGAGACCCCGGGGTTCTGACTGCCCTACCCCGCTTTCGTTTCCTTCCCCCACCCCTGGCTTCCCGAGTATTCGAAGCCAGCTGGGTCCCCGGGGTCGCAGGCCGCCCAGAGGTTCGAGCCGCGCGGCGGGGTGGGGCGGCGCGGGGCACCGCCTCCCTCCATACCTTCTCTCCCCGTGGAGCACATAGGAGCTGCGGAAGAAGCCCAGGAGCTCATTCTCGATGAGCGCGTTGTAGATAATCTTCAGATTGTAATTCCTCTGCGCGTCCAGTGTCCTATTCAGCACCACCACTAAGACCTGGGTTTGCGGGTAGAGGAAAAAACCGGCCACAGGGACAGCCCCAAACGCCCTGTCCTCAGCCAGCTGCACTTTCTCCACCGCCACTCGGGAAGCGTGCAGCACTACGTAGCGGGTGGCGTTCCGGCACGCGATCTCCACGTTGACCTCCCCGGAGAAGGTGAAGTTCTCCATGAAGGCGGTGAGCATCAGATTGTAGTGTAGCGGCTTCAGGTAGCCCGACAGGCGCAGCTGCGTCCACGGCTGCCACGGCTCCCGCTCCTCCTCCGACGGCTGCTGGGCCGACGGGGTC